AAAACAGTTTTGATAAGGTAGGTTCTACATCATGGGATAATGGCCGATATTATTGGGATTAATGGCCTTGTGGCAATCAGCGGTTAGCGGTTAGCTGTTAGTGGATTATATCAGCTATTTTGACCAGCGGATTGTATTAGCTGTTTTGACTGACAGATTATATTAGCGGATTGTTGTAAAACGTTTGGTAAAATTAGCTTTTTGTTATTAGCTGATAGTATATTAAACTACTAATAAGAATGTTTATAAATAATTTAATAATAGTTATTATAATTATTTAAAAATTATAATTCGCATATTTTGTAATTTTAAAATTTAATAAAAATGTAATAGCACAATTTTTATCCTTTTATGCTTAAAACTTTTTGATTGACAACCAAAGTTTCACTAAAACAAATGGTAAATAATTATTCTATAGAAAAATAAAATATTTTTATATTTCATTTAATTTCTTAATACTAAAAACAAATTCTTGTAGACCGGTTTTTTTAAAAAAAAACATACATCATGTACACAGTACACTACTCACACATGTCAGTTTTGACCTTTTAAAAGGTTATTCAATAATGTACCAAAAAAAAAAAGGCTATTAAATAACAAGCAAAGTAATCAATTAAATAAGCCAACCGCCAACATAAAACGCTCCAAAGTCTAGCGTCTTCAATTTTAGCGGATTGCCCCAATCAGCTGATATAAAAAGCTGTCCAACCAAACACATTTTTTGGCGTTTTGATTCGGTCAAAACCGCTGTTATAGCGTTTTGGGCAAAAACGCTGGAAACCAAACGCACCCAATATCTTCTCATACACCATCTCTCTTTCCACATTCAGTTTTCTTCTTCACGCCATTTGTTCTGAACTTTAAAGTCCTCTCTCTGTTTTTTTTTTTTTTCCATCACTCCCCCCCTCCCACCACACATACACACAATTTTCCATATTAACCTCGAAGCAGATTAGTAAACACTAATGAAATCATACTGTCTCATTACAGTCAGGCCTGAAAATACAAGTGTTTCTTGATTTGCATCACTACGACTAGTAAAACAAGTGCAAGAAAAATAGATAGATTATCTTATCTTCACGATTATGTCCTAAAATTTTCCTTCAACATCAAACATCAACATCAACATACCCAGTATATTCCCAACAGGTTGGGGTCTGGGGGGTCAGTTGTACGCAGACCTTACCCTTATAATTATACAAGGAGGCTGTTTCCATAACGACCTAAGGTGCGTTGTCAACAATGACTCTTCCAGCTCCATATGCAATGGACATAAAAAATATCCTATTTCCGCAAGGAGAAGGATCGAACCCGCGACCTCACATGGAGAAGGCGCGCAGAAGACCGCTGCGCTACAAGCCGTGTTGTAGCGCTTTGACGGGGCAACGTCAATCTCTTGGATTGAACATCCAATATTTGCACGTTGAGCGGCGGGCGGTCGGTGGCCATGGTATAGCGATACGAAAGCCGAAGGATCGACTAGACGATGGTAGCCTGGGTTGAGAACCAACTGTACGTGTGGAGCGGTCAGTGAAAGGACGGCCATATGGATTTTGGTTGAGGACGACTTATTTGGACTCATTGTTCTACATGTACGATGACGTGTACAACGACTTGTGTATATAGAAAATATGTTTTTTGATCGAGGATGGTATCGGATTTTTCAGACTCATTTGTTCCGCCTGAACTGATTGTTGAGTATATAGACAGTATATTTTCCGTTTATACAGTTATTGTTTTGTATATTAGAAGATTTTACGATACATACAAATGAGCAATTTGTTGTTTTTGGTTGATTACTGGCTATTTTTTTTTTTTTTATGTATATGTTGCGTTTATATACAATATATTTTCTGTATATGTGCGTTTTTAAACATTTTATTTAGGCTTTCAAAGATGCTGAAACATTGATAACAATACATAAACTGATCATATACCAAACATAAACTATTTAACTAATTATAATAGTACTGATTACATATCAAACACTTAGAATATACAATACATTAACAATCATACACCAAAAAAATAGCAACAAAAGTTTTATTTAAAAAACACTATAAATTGCAGATTCATGTCGACGAAACATATACCGAAAATATACAATACATAAACTGATCATATACCAAATATAAAATATTAATAAAAGTAAGCTAAATATTAATTCGAAGAATGATTTAAACTGATCGAATTGGATCAAAGATCTGGATTAAGACCCAAAACCGCAACCATAACCATCAAGCATTCGTCGGATCTTGATGAGCGCACTCCTCTTTAGCAACCTCTGTCTCTTGCTCTCAGTCCGGATCTCATCATCGTAGCCCGGACACGGCTTAGATCGGCAGCGAGCCTGTCGAGGGCCGAAAGCGTAGCCGAAGCTCATCGAGGAAACTGATGTTTATCAGTTTTTTTTCTTGGATATGGAGAGAAACATAATACATTATGTTTAATTAATTAATGAAAGAATTGCGTTAGTTACGGAAAGTAATTTGAATCAAAGATTCAAATTTGAATGCAGAAACAGAATATTATAGTGTTTTGTTCTTCGCTTTTTTTTTTGGCTGGGCGTACATAATTTGAGTCAAATATTCAAAACAAAAGATGTATGAAATTTAAATGTAGAAACGGAATATAAACGGTACATAAACGAAGTATAAACGTCATAATATTAAAATAAATATTTTAAACATGTATCTGAGTTTTCTGAGTCGTGTCGCCGCAATCCGCCATAAATCTGAGATACCGTCTGGTCGTAGTCGTGCCGCAAATTGCCGCCCTTGATCTACATCCGTTGATTTTTTACCATCACTAGTCACATTCAGATTTGCAGTTGGACTCCTTCAATATATGCTCGCCGCTCATCGCCTTCCAGTCTACACCGCCATTAACCCAAAGTCGCGGGCTTTATCGTAGCGAGTCATCTGTCCAATCCCCAAAGCTCAGTTGACCTTTCCGCAGTTCTCCATCAACGTCAATCGACGCCGAGCTTCTCTAATATCTGGTTGCCAACACCACACCCCCTATTTTGGCGGCCTTGAAAAGGGAATGGGAGTAATACAACAAAATAATGGAGAATTTTGAGTGAATCATTGTGTGTGCAGTGCGTGAGGATGAAAGTGAGATTTAAGGATTTTGTGTGTGATAACGTGTGTGCATCACAATATTAATTTTCTTACTTAATTACACATCATGTCCACAATTTTAGGGGGTGTGGCATTCATTTTTTTTTTTTTTTTGGTTGCAAGAGATTTAGGTATACATTCAATTATTTATCATCAATTCGGTGTTGATGCAAATATTTTTTTTTTAAACGTATATCTGCAATTATTTTAATTTGAGATAAGTATGTGTGTAAATACGCCAATGAAATACCCTGAAATGGAATGTTGATGACACGACTCCTAGCTATGTATTAGGCCAGAAAAGGCCCATCTTATATTTCCTGGGCTTGCTGGTACAAATTTTGTGGGCTCTTTTTAATCTGTTATTTAGATAACGTAGCCGTGCCATTTAAAAAGACAATATAACTTTAA